CTGCAGGTCGGGGGTTTAACCCACTGTGCCATACCACCAGCCCCTACTGACCAGTTTTAATTGAATTATTTGTGAGTTTTGGAGTTTTTTCTTTTTTTATTATTATTATTGAATAATTGAATCCCTTACATATTCTGGTCATTAAGCCCTTGTCAGACTATGGCTTGCAATATTTTCTCCCACTCTCTGTCTCTTCACTCTGTTAATTGTTTCTTTTACTGAGCAAGAGCTCTTCAGTTTGATAAAATCCCATTTGTCTACTTTCGGTTTTGTTTCCTGTGTTTTGGGGATTTTAGTGAAAAAAAAAAAAAACTCTGACGAATTCCTTTAATAGAGGGAATGTCCCATCCACAATATATAGAGCAGTGAAAAAAGGTGAGGAGGAACTGAAATCACATGAAGAATCCGCTCAAGTCTCACAAAGGTAATAGGGCACAGCTCCTACCACTACGCTTGAAGGATCAGAAGGGAAAAGGTCCGAGGTTTTCAACCCTGGGATCTTAGAGATGGGAATCCATGACTCTGAAACCCAGGCCTCAGAGGAGTGCTCAGCCTTTGGAGGCTAGTTTCTTTTGGCTCAGGAACAGGCTTGTGTGGGGCTATCCGCAGACCCACGAGGAGGGAGGGCTGGATGGCAGGAGCCAGGGCTCCGGAGAGAGCACACTGCTTTCTAAGTTGGAAGACTCCTGCCAGAATGACCTGGTAGGTCTGGGATGCTGAAGTGTTGCTGACAAGGACAGGGGGTACGCAAGCACTCCTTCCCCTCTGTCCAGGCTTCCAGCTCCCTCCTCTTTCCTCATTGGCAGAACCCCAAAAGAGTCGGCAGGGCAGAGCAGGTGCGTGTCTGTAGTCTCCACTGCTCACAAAGCTGAGAAAAACGAGTGGGTTGGAAGCTGCAGGTCAGTCGTTTACTAACTAGCACACCCGCATGGTTTTCAATCGAGTAGAATGACTTCTGGAGACCACTAGCGAAGGTATCACGTAATTGTCAGCCAAGGAAGAAATGGGAGGGTCTGCTCACTTCCCATCCACTTGAATGTGCAGTAAATATTAAGTGTGTCTCTTTAAAAATGATTGCTGAGTTCAGATGCGGTTGTTACTGCAGCTCCTCCTCCCCCGACCACCCTCGGGTCCTGCAAACAACATGTGCTGTGCCCCAGCACACAGGAGCTTGGCCCTGGCTACTCTCATGGGGCCTATCTGTCCCCCTGCTTCAGAGACACCATCATCCCTTCTTCAAAGAACTCAGGACTTTACAAAAGACAGGAAAAACCACACTTTGGATGGCTTTTATATTCAAATCATGAAAACATCTTCAAGCATGAAAATACTAAGTGGCTACCTGCCTGCTTGGGAAAAAGAAACAGGAATTAATATTTTAATTTACTCTCCTGTCACAAAACTATAATGCCTGTGGGTTTATTTTTTAATTTTTAAAAGTATTTATTTATTTGTATTTAATTTGATAGACAGAAAAACACAGAGAGAGAGGGGTCTTTTATCTATTGGTTCACTCCCCAAATGCCTGCAACAGCTGGGGCTGGGCCAGATCAAAGCCAGGAGCCTGGGATTCAATCCGGGTCTTCCCATGTGGGTGGTAGAGCCCCAAGTACATGAGCCATCATCTGCTGCCTCCCCCAAGAAGCACATAGGCAGTATCAGAGCCAGAACTCAAACCTAGCACTCCAATATTCAAAGGAAATATCCTAAGCAGTACCGTAACTGCTCCACCATATGTCCACCCCTACCTATGGGTTTAGAACAGTTTAACAGTATTCATGGATTTATCGGATAAATTGCAAATATTAATAAAAAAGACGAGCAGTTCTCTTTTGCTATATAATCTTTATTACCATTTTCAAGACAGATAAGGCTCCAGTTTCATCAAGTGTTAACATTCCCAAACCACTGTGTTATTGGAGTTCCTGAAAGTGTTTCCAATTCTCTGGCACTTTCCCCCAGCAGAACAGTCAGACTGAAATTCCCCTTAATTTCCAGTGCTAGTTGCAAGCCCCCGGAGATAATGGATGTGCTAGGTGATTTATATATTAAATGTTACTTGCCAGCATGATTTGAGCTCTCCAGCCCCCTTGTGTGTGGTAGCGTTTGTGCCCGTGTAAGAGTGTTGCCTCAGAGCCTCTGTTTAGGAAGGCCTTGGGAAATGAGGCTTGTGTTCTGCGAAACAGTGCCAGGGACACCTATTACCGGCAGGTGTTAGACTTCTGTAGTGCTATGAACACTGAGAAATCACTTCCCAAGGGAATCCTCTGCCTTCACAACTCTCATACCACAACCTCTGCATTGAACGAAATATTAAAGCATCTATGCTTTGGGTATGGTCTCTGCCAGAGATGGATCTACTAAACTGTTGCACCCCAAGAAAAACTGACAATAATGATAATAAGACACAGTGTTGGGGGGAATAGGGTTTCATATCACCAATCAGAAAGAAAACCATTATCTGGATGCTTCAGAACTCAGCACATCACAAGCAACAGAGAGATTGCAATCCAAAGAGGCTGTTCTTTCTACTTGGATCTCACATTTTGAAGCTTCTCCCTCAAGACATAGACAAATCTAAGGGAGAAAGATGGCTCCACCACATATCTCTACCTATTCTGCCACTCAGTGTGTTTTAAAAATAAAAACATTTCATCTATCATATCCACTACTTCACAAAAGATCAATAAAAGGTATACTCATAAAAAGACATACCCATGAAAATACTTATCTCCAACTTATCCCAACATAATAGAGAACATAACCATTCAAACTACAAGACTTATGCTTGGGTGTTTGTGAGCAGTCCAAAAGAAAATTAATGGAGTTGCAAGACTTTTTCTTTTACAGTTTTGCACACAGAAATTGTATTCAGTCTTTTTGAAAACAAGCAAATGTACAATGATAAGCAACCCTTGCATTTTCACTTTGCAGTTCCCCTTTTTTCTCTCCAACACGATAGCCATACTCTTTGTAATAAGGTTTCACCCTCCTACCATTCCTCGGGGGCACCCAGGAAAAATAGTAAATTAAGGTTTGTGCTCATGAATCACTAAGATTTTTCCAACCTCTCTGAGACCAAGAGATTTATGTGATGAAACCGCTAGCTTTTTGCAACCTGTCTTACAGTGTGCATTGTCTGCACAATAAGATATGTCTTCCTCTCTTCCTCTGTGCTAGCTTGCCTCCAAAGGTCACAGGAACTAAATCTAGAGATAATGACACCCAGTAACAACTCTATTGCCAAGAGACTACTAGCTGACTACAATGCAGTGCATTCATTAATGCAGAGTAGCATTTCCCTTAGTATTTATTATGCTCCTGTGCATAGATTCAAATCAGTTTATGTGTATTGTAAAGAATAAGCTACTCCATACTGAAAGAAAGATAGAGGTGTTAATCATCATCATCATTACACGGCTAGCTTGGACTTTGCTGTTGTTTTTGCTTAGGTAAGAAATTTCCAAAGAAATTACCCAACAGATGACTTTGTTTTAATCCCATGAGCCAGACTTTATGTGTAGATAAAAATTATTTATTCCCATGAGAAGTAGATATTGCCTTACATAAAACTCTAAACCAAATTCCCAATTGAACTATTAGTCTAGGAGCTCATTAACCTGTAGGAGGTCAGGAATCCCTGAAACTGAAAGTCTGTTTTGGTCATCCCTTGGCACTAGAAATAACTTAAAAACAGCTTTGGAGTCCATACACACAGAATGAAGAAAAAAATAAGACAGTTTCTTGCTAGATGTTAATTTTCCCCTGTTCTGATATCAGCAATTTTTCTTGTTCTATGTGCAACCCAATCTCTTCAGACAGAATGCATCCTAGTAGCCAAGTTCTGATGAAGACTAAAAGGAGCTGTAACTGCATTTGCATAGTATATTATCTGAAATCCAATAAAGGCACAATGCAAATGCCAAATCTTCTCTCCTTGCCTCACAAGACCATAGACCAAATAAAAGCAAAACAAACAAAAAAAAAAACCTGAGATCTTCCAGTGCAGACTCTTTGTGAATAAAATGGAGAGATTTCAGCCTTCCTTTGCTACCTCGAGTATGGCACTGGAAAGCTCTAGCAGGTGCACTCCACAGACAAGACATTAAAGTACAGTTGTGGGTGAGAAACAACCTGACATCAAAGCCTCTCCAGAAAACCACATTCATTAGACATGAAAACAGCAAGCAAGAAAAGTTAAATTTTGCCCTCCAAAGAAGCATGATGTGTTAAGATTCTAAGGTCACACTAAATCCTAGAAAACCAAGAATAATCTTTGATCAAGTGGCTTTGATAGGAGAGGGTGGAGTACTTAAAGACTATGTGACATTCAACCCTAATGGCAGGTCATGGTTGCCGCCAAATGCTCTTGCTTACATGCCAACCCATCAAATCCCAGAGGAGAAGGAAGGAGATGACGTAACAAACCTCACTCCCAGCAGAAAAGGAGGCATAGAAAGAACTCTGAGCTTTGATGGATCTGTAAGGCAAAGGACAGAGGGAGCTCAATGAATTTCCCATCGCTTCCTCATCTGATGTCCAGGAAGGAAGTAGACTCAGAGTTAAGGATCTGATTTTCATTCCCATTTACATTACTAGATATGAAAACCTCTAAGAGCAAGCAACTCCTTTTCCTTTTCTTAGCTTCCTAGTTATTAAATCCTGAAATACATGATGCTCACTCAGTCCTTCCAAAGAGACCTGTGCTGCCCTGTTCTGACCATCTGTCAGCCTCTAGCCAGTAAGTAGAAAGTGCACCTACCCTACAAGAGAGATGCTTTATTCCCACTGGAACTATGTTTTCAGATCTCCCTTCCCCAGATTCAGGTTGGGGTTGGACACAAAGGAAATTCACGTTAAGATCAGGAAGTGGGGGTGTAGCCACACCATTACACCCCCTACAGCTCACACACATTCTGCTGGTGCTGTGGCTCGCCTGTTGTTGCATGCGGGAGCAGCCAGTTGACCCCCACCAAGTCTGCTCTCGTTTTTTTTTCCAGGCCCGCATGAAGCTGTGCAACAGAGTCTCAGCTCCTTCTGCAGATGGTTCTGTGTAGTGAGAGAGGAAGCTGATGTGAGTTCCAGTTTGTCATGTGAATTCCATTTCTGCAGGTTGAGGAACGTCCCAGCTCTGCATGTCTTTGCTACTGCCTGTCCTCTGACTCTCTGAGCCTCCACCCTGTTCCAGTTGCAGTAGCAGGAGCTGTCCTTAGGCTTCTTGACCTTCACGGCCCCTGATGAGTGAGTCTTCCCTGATTCCCTCATTCAGACTTCTGTTTCCCTTGCTTTCTCTTACAGCGTTATCTTGTCTACTCTCCATAATGATAGAACATGCATTTAAGCTCAATCATTCCTTGATAAATTCCACCTCATAATTTTGTGAGTCAGGAACTCAGGTGGCTCTCCGGTGGGTAATTCTCTGCTCCCTGGTGTAGACTGGGTCTCTAGCAGGTACTCGGTGGCTGGACTGTCTTGAGAGTCACATGTGTGACACCTCCCAGGGCCATCCGAAAGCTGGACAATGCACAGCTCCTCTCGTGTAATCTGTTCCAGTGCACACTTAAACTGCTTGCAAAGTGGTTCCAGGCCCTGGAGGAGCAGACATCTGTCAGTCTTCTTGGAGATCAGCCTGCAACTGGCATAGCATGACTTGCTACATTCCAAGAGTTATAGCAGTCACAACACAACCCATAAAAGAGGGACAAGAAGTGGTTCATACTGCAGTGGGAGACATACCAGAGAATTCTCAGTCATGTTAGTCCACTACACAATGAGACTGGCCTTGATGAAGTGCTAGAAGTTAGATCAGAATTCGGTCCTTCCCTCATATTTCTCCTTGCCATTTTTCTTGCTTTTTTCCCATCTTTATTTATTTATCTATTGATTTACAATTACTTCATGGGTCACTTGAGTGTGTCAACAACCTTCATTTAGCCATCTCTACTTCCCAAAAGAGATTATAACATCTTCCAGAAATAGGATGGATTGCTCTCCTGTACCTCCCTCCTATCCACCATTGTTCCTAAACTTGTAACCTCTGGAAAGGTCAGCGATAAGAAATCTGGTCTATGAGAGGCCTGGGGGTCAGAAATGGTGGAGTCCCAGCCGCTGAGGAGCAGGAAGTGTAGAGGAATGCTCTCTGTGGAGTGCCTGCCCGAATAGCAACTCAGTGATAGGAAGTCATGGCACTTTCCCACAGCATCAGTGTCAGCATCCTTTCTTACTAACCAAGAGTGTGCGAACAGAACATTCTCTAGCTCATTATTAAGTTAATATGCACCAGGGTGGCACAGTGGTATTGTAGGCTAAGCCTCAGCCTGTGGCGCCCGCATCCCATATAGGCACCAGCTCATGTCCTGGCTGCTCTTCTTCCAAACCAGTTCTCTACTATGGCCTGGAAAAGCAATAGAAGATGGCCAAAGTCCGTGGGCCCCTGCACCCAGGAGGGACACCAGAAGAAGCTCCTGGCTCCTGTCTTTGGATTGGCAGAGCTCTGGCCATATGGCCATCTGGGGAGTGAACCAGCAGATGGAAGACCTCTCTCTCACTCTTTCTCTCCCTCTATCTGCGCCTCTATAACTCTGTCTTTCAAATAAATAAACCTTTTTTTTAAAAAAAGTTGTGGATATTACACTTTTTTCTTCAAAACTTTTGATTTTGGAAAACTTTTACTCTCATGTAAAGGTTACAAAGATATCATAAAAAGTCCCTGTGTACCCTCACCAAGCTTCTCCAAAATATAACATTTAACCATAATAAAATATTCAAAATTAGGACATTGTGTTTGGTATGATGCTATTAAGTAAACTACAGACTTCACTTACATTTCACAAGTTTTTGTACATTCTGTTTTGCTCTTAGAGTTTGTGAAATATGGCCACATGTATAGATTCATGTAACTCCAACTTCAAGTCAAGATGTAGGATTATGACTTCACCTGAAAGAAATTTCTCTGTGCTACATTTTCATGGTCACACCTATGCTGGCCCCATCAAAGGTAACCCAGTGCACAGTGGTGCCATTGAGAACAGGAGAATAGCAACACACAATTCCATCCACAAAAGGAAACATGAGAAACACACCACAGGCATTAATCCTCAGACGTGGGTAATTCTGCACGAGCAGTCTTCCGACAGGAGGCAAACCCTCTGAAAGAGATTAACAGATTTTCTAGAGCATGTTCTTGATCATGACTTCTGTGAAGAGACGGAAAAATAATCAGGATAAGGAAGATGAAAAAGTCAATCCTTGGGGCCGGCACCGTGGCAAAGCAGGTAAAGCTGCCACCTGCAGTGCCAGCAACCCATATGGGTGTTGGTTCAAGTCCCAGCTGCTCCACTTCCGATCCAGCTCTCTGCTATGGCCTGGGAAAGCAGTAGAAGATGGCCCAAGTCTCCCGTGTGGGAGACCCAGAGGAAGCTCCTGGATCCTGCATTGGCCAACTACAATGGCAGTCATCTGGGGAGTAAACCAGTGGTTGGAAGATCTCCCCCCGCCCCCGTGTAACTCTGACTTTCAAATAAATAAATAAATCAAAAAAAAAAAGATAGTTGACCCTTGCTATAATCAAGGGGAGCTTCTGTCAGTGCTGGGGGTTTCTTAGTATGGGCTGTCCTTTCCGTACTGTCCACGAGCAGTCCCTAGAGCTGAGGGGGTGTCACGACCCGGGACGATGCAGCTCTCCCAGCACCAGGGGTGATGATTTCTGCAATCTGGAAGGAAGTACTGAGCATGCTACAAAACAAAGAAGCACTCTTTCAGGTCCTCGGTCACTGGTCTTCATGCTTACAGAGGACAGAATGCACTGCCCAGATACTGAGAGCAGGACGGAGGCCATTGCGGATTGGGAAGAGAGTGCTCTGTATGCTGGGGCAACACATGAGAGGACTGGCAGTTGGAGGCCAGTGGGGTGAGGCTTTGATGGGCTCAGTTGTCTCTCCACCGGACTTCCATGTCCTCATTTCAGGAAGGCAGAGTTATCTCTGGGAAAGGCTGTTCAGGCCTGCACTTGGTTTCTCACACTGCCCACTGCCAGAAGTTAGGATAGCCCTGTGACTGATCTGGGTGCAGGGAGATAAAACAGAAGTGATGGACACTCTGACCACGCCTGCCATGGTCTCAGCTGTACTCCCCAAAACTCCTCTCTCTGGTTGGGTGCCATGGACTCCAGCCCCTTGGGCACTAGGAAAACATAGGCTGAAGACAACAGAACCTCAATCAGCCTGGATTTCACATGATGGCATGAACGAGGGACTTCCATCACCCTATGCACCTGCCACACATTGTCATGGGAGCAGACAACAAGCTTGAGGCCTTATGCTGCTTTGATATTTTTGTTGTGACGGCTAGCTGTACATGATAAGACACAACACAGACACACGCACACACACGCACAGATAGTTCAAAATACATTGTTTTTACAATATACTATTTACAGTCACCACAAAGATATAAAGTTTCTTGGCAGAAACATAAGAAACTTTTCAAAGCCTTCATGGAGAAAATTATTAAAGCTTCTTATAAAGCATTAAAGAAAACCTTAGTGAGAGAGATCTCTAATCCCAGGGTGGTGGGGGGGTTTGGTGTGGAGGACTTTGAAACAGAGTGGAGTTATGTCCATGTACAGGAAGATTAAATAATGTAAAGGTGTCAGTTGCCCTAAAATTATACTAAAGACTAAATGCACATCCTGCTGGTTGTCATGAACTTGACAAGTTTATTTTAAAATGATATAGAATTTAAAAGTGGCCCAAAATAACCAAGACACTGCTGAGTGAGAACAAGGTGATGTAACTCTCCTTTCAATATATCACTTTTTGAAAAATTATTAGAATTAAGATAGCATGGCATTAGCGTAGAGCCAGAGAAGCAGCAAAGTGCGAGACTACAGGGCCCTGAAATAGATCCTACGTGTCCTGGAAACTGAGCTATGATGTTCAGCATAGAAAGGAGAGACCGTTTGATAAATGGGACTGAAGAAAGAACGTATCATCCAAAATTAGATTTTGACTTGATGGGAAAAAAGCAAATCCCTTTAAAAATTTTAGAGGAAATATCAAGTAATATTATTTTGAGCTGGAGATGAGAATGTTTTTTAAACAAAGCCCATGAGCCATAAAATAAATGACTGATTGAATACATTAAAATTATAAACCTTGGTTTATCAAAATATACTATGAAAAAAGTGAAAATGAAGCAGTAAAACTTCATGAGAGCAATAAGATACAGCCTGATAAATATCATCAAAATATATGCATGAATATATGTCAGTAGGAATGCACACATACCACTGTTATTAATCAATAGAAACAATACAAAATTGGTCCAGTATTTTCTTAAAAGGTTGGATTTTAACTTCATTCGCATGAAAACATGGAAACCCATGTCACAATGCTCATGTAGAAATATTTTAATAGTGAAAGTCTCAATGTCTGTAGGCAGAAGTTGGATAAATTGGGGTAGACATATGCAAGCATTCATGACTCAGCAGTAAAAGTTACTATGCTATAGCAACATGCTTCAATATGTGCAGGTCTCAGATAGAAAAGGATAAATTTTAGAAGTTAGTTTAGAGGAATTTATATACATATATCTTACAATTTACAGTTTCCAAAACTTTATATTTCTAGATATATATATTTAAAATGAATTCCAATGATAATAAAAAGTGAATCAATACTGAGCATGAAAACCAGAGATACAGTTTGGCCATAGAGCATTTGTGGGTCTGTGATGGGGCTGGCACCTGACTCACTTGCTCGAAGAAGCTAAGGTAAAAAGTTGCCCGGGAAAGAATTCCTGAAGATGATGACAGTGGAGTTGAGTTTCGAAGAAATAAGGCGTGAGCAAATGAAAGGTGAAGGGAGAAGAGAAAGCAGGAGAAACAGCAAGGAGATGAGAGGGAGCAAAGGGAACACCGAGAGTAGTGCTGGGCTACACCTGGCTATCGGGAGAGGCAGGTGCAGAGGTTTGCTGAGAACGATATAACGAGCGGATTTCCAGTGGGGGGAAATGAATCTACATACATGATACATGTACTCTTATACACACTTAATATATAAATACATACAAATGTATAAATAATTTTATTGATATGACAATGTGTAGCCAATTATTTACAAATAATAATAAAATATACAATAATACAATATTGTATATACAATAATAATAATAAAATATACAATACTCTATTTACAGAGAGGCAGGGACAGAGAGAGAGAAAGAGAAGTCTTCGTTCCACTGGTTCACTTCCCAGATGGCCTCAATGGCCAGAGTTGAGCCGATCTGAAGCCATTAGCCAGGAGGTTCTTCCCTGTCTCACACGGAAAGCTGGATAGGATGTGAAGCAGCCGGGACTCGAACTGGCACACATATGGGATGTCGGCACTGCAGGCAGTGGCTTTACCAGCTATGCCACAGCATTGGCCCCACAATACTCTTTATTATAAATCCCAATTGAGGCTCAAAATAAAATGATTTTATTGGTTGGGTATTTGGCCTAGCTATTAACATGCTGGTTGAGACACCTGTGCCCTCTATCAGATGTTTTGAGTTCTGGCTGTGGCTTCTGATTCCAGTTTCCTGCCAATGCAAACCTTGGGAGGCTGCAGATGATGAAACAAGTACTTGGTCCTCTGGACACCACGTGGAAGACCTGGGCTGAGTTCCTCCCCAGCTCTCAGCTTAAGGCCATCCAATTCACAGCTGTTGAAGTATTTGGGGGATGAATTAGCCGTCTGTATATCTCTTTCTCAGTCTCTCCATCTCTCCATTTCTATGCCTCTTAAATAAATTATTTTTTTTAAAAAAATGCTTCCATCAATTTCTGCCAAATTCTTGTTTTTTGACTGACCTATAACTGCAATTCAACCATGATTTGAGAATTCAACTTAATGCCATTAAATTCGTTAATGACAACTTTCTTAAGAAAAAAAAAAACCTTTATTGGGGAACATTAATAGCATACAGAGAACTGCATGTAGCATTTATGTACAACTTTGTGAGTTTGGATAGAGCACCACAGTCCATCACTTCCCAGTTTCCTTTGTCCTGTTCTTGCTTTTTTTTTTAGTGTGTGTGTGTGTATGTGTGTGTGTGTGTCTATCAAGAACACTAAACATGAAATTTACCCACTTAACCCAATTTGAAGTGCACAGCACCATATTGTTCATCATAGGGCACTATTCCATACAGCAAACCTCTAGAACTTTTTTTTTTTTGACAGGCAGAGTGGACAGTGAGAGAGAGAGACAGAGAGAAAGGTCTTCCTTTGCTGTTGGTTCACCCTCCAATGGCTGCCGCGGCCGGCGCACCGCGCTGATCCGATGGCAGGAGCCAGGTACTTCTCCTGGTCTCCCATGGGGTGCAGGGCCCAAGTACTTGGGCCATCCTCCACTGCACTCCCTGGCCACAGCAGAGAGCTGGCCTGGAAGAGGGGTAACCGGGACAGAATCCAACGCCCCAACTGGGACTAGAACCCGGTTTGCTGGCGCTGCAAGGCAGAGGATTAGCCTAGTGAGCTGCGGCGCCGGCTTCTAGAACTTTTTAACATAGCATAACTAAAACTTTAAATGTTGAACAAATCCCCATGTCACCCACTGCCAAGCCTCAGCCAGCCACTACTGCATTGCCTGCGTCTATGGGCCTCACTGTCACAGACACCTTATCTAAGTGGACTCATGCAGTATCTGCCCTCCCGTGACAGGCTTATTCCACTTAGCACAATGTCCCCACACTTCATGCATATTATCTCACATACAATATTCCCTTCATTTTAAAGGTGAATAATACACCTTCTGTGTTTTGGCCACAGTTTCTATACCCATTCCTCTGGTGATGGATGCTTAAGGGCTCCCACACCTTGAACACGTGCTACCATGAACAGTGCTGCAATGAATCTGGAGGTACAGATGCCTCCTTAAAATCCTCATTTCAGCTCTTTTGGGAATATGAATACACCCAGAACTGAGATGGCTGGTCATATGGTAGTTCTATTTTAATTTCTTTAAGGAATCTATGTGACCTACTTTTAAACAGTTCCTCACTCTTACACAAATTATCTTCATTAACCCAAAACCTCTTTCGGTTTCATTCCTTCATCAATGATGTGAACAACTTCTTGGCTGGTTTGGGTAATAATTTTGAATGCTAGAAGAATATTTCCTCAAGCTGGTACTACCTACTATGTAGTTGTCGCTCCCCCTCTTCGCGGAGGAACGACACAGGACCCTGCGCTGTTCTTTCGTCTGCTCGGCCCTCCCCGGGTTTGCTGCTGGTTCTTCCCGGGTTGGCTACTATCCCTTCCACCTCCGTGGAAGGGCAGTTCCCCCTGGCCGCATTCCCCACTTCCGCAGGGGAGCGGCACACCGCCGGCCGGCTCTTCTCGGGGGCTGCACGGGTGTTCCTTCAGCTAGATGTTCCCCTTAGGTGTTCCCCATAGATGTTCCTGGTGAATGCCGTCTCTCTCCTCCTTTATAGTCCTCCTCCGCCAATCCTAACTCGGCTGCCCACACGCCGAGTACGCTGCTCTCCTCTAATCAGGAGTAGGTCCTACAGTTTATTAGTTGAACTGGAGGCAGCTGTGCGGAAGCTGTTTACTTCTCTCCCATCGCCATATTGTGGGAGAGCAGATGCATAGAATAAGTCTTAATTCCAGTAACTCAGTCTAGTCCGGTTTGCTCCCCACAGTAGTGGCTATGGACACAGCACAATTTTAAATGCTCTCTCAATCAGTTTCTTAAGTTCCATTACCAAACAATAAATCAAGCCCCGATTGGTAGTTTTCACTATTGCCACAGGACATGTGTTCCCATCTTAACTGATCTCAAGTTACCAGTGTGGACCTGAGGAAGGATGTAAATAGTGCACTGTCTACTTCCATTGCCCAGATACATTAGACTAAATAACTTCAGGAGTGTACTTAAGAAATAAAAGATATGGGGTCAGCAGGTGAAACTGCGACACAGATATCCCATATCTGAGTGCAGGTTTGAGTCTGGCTGCTCCATTTCCAATCCAGCTTCCTGCCAGCACACCTGGGAAAGCAACAGAAGAGGGTACAAGAGGTTGGGCCTCTGCCACCCACATGGGAGATCATCCATCTGCTGATTACTCCACAAATGTCAAAAGCCAGATCCAAGACCAGGAGCCAAGAACTCAATACTGGTCTCCCACAGAGTGGCAAGGTACTAAGTACCTGGGCCATCTTCTGCTGCCTCTCCATGATCAGAGTAGCCGGGCCTCGAGCTGCCACTCAGATGTGGGATGCTGGTGCTATTGCAAGCAGCACCTTAACCTGCTATGTCACAATGCCAGTCTCATTTTTAAAAAAGGTTTATTTATTTGCTTATTTATTTATTTGAAGTTTAGACAGAGACAGAAAGAGAAGCAGATGGTTTTACATAGTTAGCTTTACATATGTTTAAATATTAGCTTTATCTAATTAATTTTTAGTAAGGGGCTCTAGTTAACAACCGGCATTCCAAATTCCTAAATGTTTGACTGTGAGCTCTTGCACACTGGTAAAGATCCATTACAGCCCACTGCTCAAAGGATGGCAGTAGACAGGCTGGGCAGGAGCAGACACAGGACACCTGGTGACAGGGCCTGCTGGTGCCCACCCACACCATCCAGGAAAGCAGGTGTAGTGCAGCTCCCTGACACAGGATATGGGCCTTTGCACTGATTTCAACTAATGCAGTGAGAGTGAGAGTGCTTCCAGGCTTGTCCAATGACCCTCCACACCCACCTGTCCCCATAATGAGGTCAGAGCTCTCTTTCCCCATCTGTCATCTGAATGGCCGGGACTTAGCAGACCCAGAAGACAGAGGCACAAGGAGCAGGACCTCAGCTTCTTCAGAGCTGTGTCGAGCAGAATACCTTCCCAAAGGACCCCTCTCCCCACTGACCCAGCTACATGCAGACCAGAAGAGGTCTGAGAGGAACAAGAAAATAATTTTACTTTATTAAGTTTACTGAGATTTCAGGGCTTATCTGCTCTAGTGACTACTCTTTTTTTTCCTTCCCTCAACAAATACAAATCAATGAGAGGTTTTTTGCTTTGTTCACTTTGCAATAGGAGTCTTACCTGTGCTTTGTGTCTGTCTTCCAGGCTTGTCCATCTTACCTTCAGGTTTAAGCTCCAGGTTGGAGACTTGGATGGAAGAATAGGCCCCCACAGAGTAGGAATTACATTGGAAGACAAAACCTCACTCTGCTCTGACAGCCTTTTCTTCCAGAAACAGCTTCCAAGCCTGGGGGTAAGAAATTCCTTAGAGCCAAGAGGAGCCGGTGGGTGGGAAATCATAGCCAGCCCCTATGGAAAGCGTATCTCCCAACAAAAACAGATCAAATTTTTATCCCTGAACAGCAAATTAAAGAAAGTAGCAAATAAGAGCACGGTAAAAAAATATTTTAAGAAAATCCGGTCTCCCCAAGGAGCCAGCGGGTATCTCCTAGCAGCGGAAGCACCGCCCACAGCACAGCCTTCGGGCATTGGTCCACCCCAGGTGGAGGCAGCCCTGCGGGCCGACCTTTCAGTAACGTGTGCAGCATTATTCCTCGCTGCGTGGGGTGTCCTTATTTCTTGTTCCTTTTCATTGGGAGGGCTTCTGCCTAACTTTAGCAATATTATCTTTTACCGTCTGGGTTCTCTTTTTTTTCCTTCTCTTTTCCTAGGAGTCTTTTAAATGTTTCCTGGCTTGAGTCCTTTCTTTGTTGATGCTGCAGGGAAAGATAAGGAAAGACATTTACTCAACCCTCACCTTCTTAGTGACCCCAAACTACAAACCACGGGGTTGTGTCACTTTCTCACCCTCCCTTCTCAAAACTTTCCATTTTCTCCCAGCAATATTATTTTGTTTTTTGTTTTTTTTTTTTGGGGGGGGGGGGAGACAATGAGATACATCCTTTGAAAGTGCAATGAAATTAAAATTAGCTGAAAGAATTACTTTCTGATACAAAAATCCCCAAATTACCTGAGAGATATAAAATATTGAAAGTGCTTCATTTAAATTATAAGGCCCCTTTCAAAGATTATCAAAATGCTAAATAAATGCCCTGCCCTGTAAGAGATTGCTCGGCAAACATTATTATAGCAATGATGCATAAGCAAGTCCAGCAGGGCGTCTGCTCAAACTTACATCAGGTTTCCTATTCTCAACCTGTTTCCATCATCAACTCACTGCATTTGTGCTTTTTCATCAACAATAAAAATGGCAAAACCTGTCTTTCAGTATCTTAGAAAGATAAAATAAAGAGACTGAACAGTAGGTTTTCTGCTTACTACTTGTTGAATTCTTTATTTGGTGGAGGGTTAAGCTTGTGATTATAAAATCTATCTAAAGTTTATCATTGTAAAAATTTTTAAAAATTAAGAAAGATGGAAGGATGGTGGGAATATGGGTGGGAGGGAGGATAGTGTGGAAAATATTGTTATACTGTTAAATCTGTAAATACATGAAATGTTTTCACCTTATATAAATAAAAATTTTATTAAAAAAATAGAGACTTGAGAAATGTGCATGCAGAGACTGATGGCCATGTGAAGACATTGAGAGAAGTCTCAGAAGAAACCAAACCTACTGACACCTTGAACTTGGACTTCTAGCTTCCAAAAGTGTGAGAAAATCACAGTTTTGTTGTGAAAGTCACCCAGTTGGTGGTATTTTGCAGCCCTAGCCAACTAATACAGGGATCATGGGGAAAATAAATTAGCATTTTTTGCAAACAAAAAAAACTTTCAAGTCCCAGTGCTGTGACTTTAACACCCAGCTTTCTGTGGGCTTTAAGGAAGAACTATGAAGGTCGTGGATTGTTGATGCCCTCCATTATTTCATCACGGCTTTTCTGGTGATTGCATCTCAAGTCCTCTCTGTGTGCTCTCCTCCCCTCGCCGTTAGCTCTGTGCTTTAGGAGCCTCTCACTGCTGACTCAAGCGCATGACCTCAGTTTAAGCCAATCAGAGCATTTCTCAGTAGGCAGTGCTGATGCAGGGAAGGGCAAATAACCAACTTAGCCATGATGAGAAACAGAGTTACTCTTCCTGGAGCTGTATCAGTTCCTCTATAGCTATTTCTCTTTCCTTAGTCTCAGGGTCCCTAAAATCATTCCCCACACAAACTATGTGCACAAATATTCTCATCTTAGTGTCTACTTCAAAGACCATAAGGGAGGCGGGGTCAGGTTAATATACTCATTATAGTTCATCTTCTACCAGGCCATCAAAATTAGCTTTTTAACACCAATTAAAATCAACTCCTCCCTATCCGGAAACTGCCAGTGGCTTCATCTTACTATATAAAGTAATAATAGTAATCAGTCATCTGATAGTCTTGTGGGGGCCCTTAAAGCATGAACGTTTTTGCCTCTAATCTGCTTCACATACAACAGTCTCACCACATGCAGCTAGAATTCGGTGAGCTCACTTTTGTCGCAGGACA